AGCGTTCGCGGCAGTCAGCCGGGGGGTCTCGAGGTCACGTCTGCAGATGGGGCTGCAGAGGCACTGCAGAGGGAGCCCGTGGAGGAACCGAGGAAATTTGACCAGGGTCGTCGCAGCCTCAGCTGCCCGGTCCCCTTCCTGCGCCTGCTCCCTCGGGCCCGTGCTTATCCTTAATGTTCCTGCTATTGCGCTTCCTCATCGCCCTGGATTCCTGCTTCCGCCCCGCATTTCTGATCGAGTCCACTCGCCATCATCGCCGTCGCCATCGCCGCCATCATATCAGCACCACCACCATCATCATCATTGTCAGCATCATCATCATTAGCATCATCATCATCATCATCATCACCATCACCAGCATCATCATCATCATCATCATCATCATCATCATCATCGCCAACATCCCCCACTAGTGGTTCATGGAGGCAGGGAGGAAAACGGACACTTAAGGACACGGGCAAATCATCATCGTCATCATCATCATTATCATCATCATCATCATCCATCATCTATCACCCATCACCCATCACCCATCATCATCCCTCGTCTTCTTCGCCATCACCTTCATCATCATCGCTCATCGCCGCCACCGCGTGACCATCAAACATGATCAGCATAATCATCATCATCATCATCATCATCATCATCATCATCGTCGCAAACGCCACCATCGCATAATCACATCATTATCTTTGCCGATGCTTTCCCCTTTTCTCTCCCCCCTCCCATCCACCTTCTCCTGCGTGCCTCCACATTCCCCCGAGGCCGAGCGACTCGCCCTGGGCCGGGCGGGTTGCGGTTGCGGGCAACGCAGTAGTCGCAGCAGGCGCACGTTCCTCTCGTCCGCACCTCCTCCGTTCCTCCTCCTCATCGTCTTCCTGTCTTCCTCCTCCCCTTTCCTTCACCCCCTCCTTCTCCGTCTCCGTCTCCCTCCTCCCCCCCCGTCTACGGCGCGGAGATAATCGCGCTTCGGCGCTTCGTGCGTCGATGCCCAAGCAGGGGCGATGTGCGTTTCCCCGCTGCGGCGCGAAGATAACCCGCTACGTGCATCTCGGAACGCGATGCTGCGAGTTAGGAGACCTAAATAACTACTACGCTTCGTTTCGGACCGAAACCAGTTTCGGAACATCTCATTTTCTTCCCTGCCCCCGCCGTCTCTGCTGTTCGTGGCCAAGTCCGGCCTCTCCGCGAGGCGCCCTTCTCCGACCGCCTTCCCTTCGCAAGAATTCAGGTCGGCCGCCGCGCCATGGCTGCCGCGGCTGCGACTGGCTCTTCGGATACGATCGGTGCGGGGCCCGCGCACGACTACGACGCGTCCGGGTCTGGAGGTTTTGGGCATGGGCACCCTTCGCCTTCGGATGCTTCCTCGGTGCACTCTGGTCTTCCCGCGTCGGGGACCAACGCGCACGACCTCCTGTTCGGGCCCAAGGATCTAGGCTGCCCAAATGGGGTCAGGGTAGACGGGGTCAGAGGATCGCGCTGCATCCCCGGTGGTTTGGCGACGCGACTCGATGCGGATCGATGTCTCGCCGACGTCGCCGATGCATATGCGATGCGTCGCCGATTCAGCGCGATCCTCAGACCCCATCCACTCGGACATCCATAGGGGTGCCTCTTTCAAAGGAGTCAGTCGACGAGCGCTTCCCGGACGTGGACGGCCAGGAGCGCTACGAGATCATCGAGAGGTCCTACGGCATTGCTGACCCGTCTCCCGTCATGGCGTGGGGCCCCGACAACGAGGAGCTGCTGGTGAGACACAGCGGCGTCAACGCCCGCAAGGTCTCCGCCGCTTGCATGGTGTATGCGAAGAACATTCTGAAGTGTGGCGTGATGACCAAGTTCAGGGGTGTGATGATGGGGGTGCAGTGCGTGCAGAAGGCCAGTTCACCCGACGGGCTCACGTCGGACGAGGTCACATACTGGCGCATGATATCTGGCGCCACGCTCGCAGAGGCGCTGTACGTGGCCGCCAAGATGGAGCCCGACAATAAGCACGTGCTGGCCATTCGGAAGAAGGGCGTCTCCATCAAGAAATGGCGCTTCGACACGCCTGTCGACGTCTTGCGGTGGCTCAAGGACCGTTGGTTGTAACAGTTGCCGTGGACGACGCGAGTCGTCGCCTCGGAGCCTCCTACCTCCTCCTCTTCCACCTCCTCCTCCAGCTGATGCTGCGGCTGCTGCTCCTCCTCCTCCTCCTCTCCTCGTCCTCCTCCTCATCCTCGGCCCCATTCTCATCCCTCTTCCTTCCTTCCTCCTCCTCCTCCCCCTCCTCTTTCTTCCTCCACCTCGTCCTCCCCGCATCCCCCCTCCCTCCCTCCTGCCTCCTCCTCCCCCTCCTCCTCCTCCTCCTCCCCCAGGGGCCAGCCGCCCCCCACCCCCCGGGCCCCGCCCCCCAATCCGCAGGCGGCGGCGGAGGGCGAGGAGGAGGAGGAGGAGCTGAGGAGGGGCGGGAGAAGGAGTCGGAGGAGGAGTCGGAGGAGGAGGAGGAGGAGGACTCAAGAGGACCGAGGAGGCGGAGGCGGGGGAAGGGGGGGGGGTGGCAAGCCCCCGCTTTCGCTTTCCCAGGGGGAGGGGAACAACTGGCACGGTGGCGTGTCGACCACGTTCTTGGAATTGCCCCCCGCTGCTTCGTTTGCCCGACGGAACGTCAGGAGTCTGGAGTTTTTGAGTCTGACCGTCGCAAGAACTACCTCTCGACATCGGAGAGGCCTCAGGCCTCAGGGCGGCCAATGTTTCGATCGGTGTGTTGGTCCAGGTCGTTGTCTGTTGTCTGTCGGTTCCGTTCGGTTTACCCTGGGGCCTGAAGTCAGGTTGGCGGCCATCTCTGACATCGAGGCCGGCTGGCTTGCGCACAGGAGGTCAAAGGGCATCGAGTACGGTACTTGTCCGAAGGCGGGGCCCATGAGCTGGGCCAGCCAGATGTCGGCGTATACCATGAAGAACTTCGGGGACGTGTTCAAGCAGTCCAAGAACCTGGTGACCGTGACGAAATCCGTGGTCACTGCGCTCACCAGGACTCCCACCGTCAAACTAATCTTGCCACGTCGGTCATGTTTTGTTGGCTGCTGTTCTGGCGTGCGTGTGCGCGAGCGCGCGCGTGTGTTTGTGTGTGTGTGTGTGTGTGTGTGTGTGTGTGTGTGTGTGTGTGTGTGTGTGTGTGTGTGTGTGTGTGTTTGTGCGTGTGCGCGTGCGTGTGTGCGCGCGCGCGTGCAGGCGTGCGCGTGTGTCTGCGTGTGTGGAGTCGCGTGAAACTGTGAAAGCGCTCGACTTCGGCGTGTTGCCACGAGTCGTCCATGCCGCCCATGCCCATAGATGGGGCGGACGGAATGGGCTATGGGCCATGGGCGCGCGCTGTCGGATGGGGGCCCGAAGTCGGACGGTGCCTCCCACAGGGTCCGACAACCCGCGCCCATGCCCAGATCAGGCCCCCTCCCTCCGACCTCCCTATGGGAATGGGTTGTGCGTGTTACGTGAACAAAGCCGCAGGATGCACATGTTGTCCGACTTCACCGCTCTGTGCGGCTCGGCGACGGGCGTGGATTGGCTTAGGCCAGAGCTGAACAACACCACCGTCATACACGTGCTGAACAGTCTGCTCTCAGATCTGGAGGAGCACTTCAGTGACGCACTGGATGAGGAAACGCTGAGAATGGTATGCTTCGAGCTCTTGAAGTTCGCCCTCCCCTGGGCTGTGGCCGACGGCGTGGACAGCGAGCAAGTCTGCTGTTCGTGGGTGTTCACTACCACCGCCATTGCCAGCCAGAAGTTCAAGTGGCTTTGCACTCCCATGGCGGGTTCCACTCTCTACAAGTCCGCGCAGCCGAAAACAAGAAAAAAAAAAAAACAACAAAAAAAAAAATAAAAAAAAAACATCACAAAAGAAACAAAAAAAAAAAAAAAAAAAAAAAAGAAAACAAAAAAAAAAAAACAAAAAACAGAAAAAAACAAAATACAAAACAAAAAAAAAAAACAAAAAAAAAAAAAAAAAAAAAAAAAAAAAACAAAAAAAAAAAACAAAAAAAAAAAAAAAAAAAGAAAAAAAAAAAAAAAAAAAAAAAAAAAGAAGTCCGCGCAGCCGAAAGCCAAATCGAAGCCGAAGAAAGCTGCCGCCGGCACGGGCTCGGAGCCCCCCGCCAAGAAGGCACGCAAGGGCAAGGGCAGGGGCAAGGGCGGGGGCCCGACCGTCCCAGAGGAAACGCTCACATTGACGACCTCGGCCACTCGGCAGAAGTACTGGTTGGATGACGCGGTTGCGTGCGTGATGGCTGTCAAGGATCACCTCGACCCTTCGAACATCAAGCATGCTGTGATCAGGAGGTCCATCTTCCTCGCCCTGCAATTCTGTTTCGAGAAGAAGATCGTCATTGCTGGGGTCACGTACACTGGGTGGAAGTCGGTTCGCAAGCAGTTGCGATCTGACATCGTCCGGGCCCACGCCGGCATGCTCAAGCATATCGCCGATGACAGCGCCCCCGGCGCGTCGGTCGTCGCCGCGACCTCCGCGATTCAGTCCGACGGTCAGATCGACCTGGCCACCAGGGTCTTGGCGAAGCTGGACATGGCCGACGACGCCGACGCCCGGGCCGAGGCCCTCTCCTTGCCCGCGAGCCCGGACGAGCTCTGGCAGAAGGGGATGGTCCGCAACCCGGAGGTCAGCGCGATGCAGGCGATGGCAGAGGACGCTTCTTTTGTCAGGTGGTAGCAGATACAAAATCGTGCTCTTGATCCTTTGCCAGCCTGCCTCCCCCCCCCTCCTGCTCCTCCCCCGCCTCCTCCACCTTCTCCTCCCTCCTCCTGCTCTTCCTCGTCCTCCACCTCCACCTCCTCCTCCTCCCCCTTCTTTCTTCCCCTCCTCCTCCTCAGGCTCCTCCTCCGACTCCTCCTCCTCCTTCCCTCGCCCCCCTTCTGCCCCCGCGCCTCTCCCGCCCGCCCGGCCCTCTCCCCGAAGGCAGCTGGTTGGCTTCTGCGCCAGGAACATCGCGCCCTCGCTGCCGACGGCCATGCAGCCGACGTTCAGGGACCTGTCCATGAACATCACGGGGTCCTTGGCCAAGCAGCAGCAGAAGCTCGTCGCGCTGGCAACGGACAGCGACAAGGTTGAGTTGTTGTGCGATATCATCAGTCAGGACCCTCTCACTGCAAACCCGCATGTGTATACATATATAGATATACATATACATACATCTGCATGTATACCATGCGTGTGTCTTAACAGTTTGACGGCGATGCGTGTATCACTTTTTCGACCCATAATCCTGCATACGTTTATATAGATCACGCCTCATATGCCATGTTATCGTATTACTTCTTCCTTATATATAATATATACATAGATGTATAAATGCGTAGACATCTATAAGCACGCATCGCTAGCCATGTCTTTCTGTCTGTCTATGTATGTAGATGTAGATGTGTGTGTGCGCACATCCCCCTATCTCCTCATACATACACATACCCACATGCGTATACATAGATGTACATACGCATACATACACAACTAGACATTTACATGTTAAACTATGCACACACACATATATATATATATATACATACGCACACATCTATGTGTGTCTATGTATATATAGATATGCGCATTTATGTGTATATACTTTATTAAACGCAAGTATATATTCACTCCACAGTTGCATTGTCTCTCTGCCTCTCGTTCTCTCTCTCTATCCCTCTACATCTGTGCAAATACGTATCCACGCGCATATGCGCATATTCATGCATGCGTATATATATATATATATATATATATATACATATAGATATACACACACGCACACTAAATGCGCGCCGCCCCCCCCCCCCCTCGTCGGGGGTGAGGGGGGTGATGCACGTGGATTTCGAACTTGTCGTTGCGTGTGCCCCTTTGAGGAGCTCTTCGGCTTAGTCCCGCAGCGGTGGATGGAGTTCACGGCCTACGTGCGCAAGATGATCGTGGACCACAGCTTGGGCGCCAGCGAGAACCGGTTGAGGCTCATCTCGTTCGGCGTCTTCAACTGCGCGGACAGCGTGGCGAAGTTCTGGAGAGCTCGCGCCCTGTACTTCAGGGAGGCGGTGGCGTGTCTCGTCGGCGGGCCCGAACGGATGACCTCCACGGACTACTCGCACGTGACCCTCTGGCTCTACAGCGCCCAGGCGGAGGTCGCCGAGGTCCTCGAGTGCGGCGGCCCAGCTGCGGCTGTCTACGCGAAGCGCATGTCGCAGATCATCCTGGCCGGCGTGGTGGACGGGCTTAGCCTCGATGCTCCGGCCATGTCCTCGAAGCTGAAGTCCGCGATGCAGGCGCTGGAGCAGCAGCGGGCCGATGCTGCCGAGATGCTTCAGCTGATGGCTGCGCACTGCCCCAGGGAGGACTCGTTTCTCAAGCCGCTGCCCGAGATTCGCGCGATGTGGAACGCTATGGCGGCCGAGCCGGGCGACGAGGCGACGGGTGGAGCTGCGGTGGGAGTGGCGTCGACCAGCGAGGAGGAGACGGTGCCAGCGATGGCCATGCACTCCTTGGCGCTCCACCTCGAGCAGAAGCTATACGACTGGGCGTTCCAGGGGGAGCACGCGTCGACCCTCGCCCCGGACGCGCACGCCGACACCTTGATGGGGGACGCTTTCGACCCTGCGGCTGCCATCTACTGGACGAAGACGGAGTTATGCGTGGCGCCGGAGAAGGACCTGGTGTTCAACATGATTGGGGAGGTCTTTATGCTGTAGTAAATATGTTACATGGTGACATATATTATCTATCTCTCTTCCTCCCCCTCCGCCCCTGCCATCCCCCCCTCTCTCATTCCCATCCTTCCGCTTCCTCCACCTCCTCCTTGCATGCGTGCATGCATGCATCTATGCATGCATGCATGCATGCATGTATGTATGTATGTATCCATGCGTGTATGTGCTGTATGTGTGCATGTACATATGTGTGGGTGTGACGTGTGTGAATGTGTGTTACACTGCGTTACACACCTCTCCCGTCCCCCCCCTCGCTCTCCCCCTGCCCCTCCCTCCTTCTCCTTCCTGTGCCGCTGCCTTTTACTCCAGCGCCCCCCCTCCTGCTGCCGCTGCTGCCCACCCCGCCATCCTCCACCCCCCGGCGGGGCGGCGGCGGGGCGGCCATCCTGCGGCCCGTCCGTCGGCCAGCGGCGCCGCCGCCGCCATTGGGCCGAGCGCCTCGGCGTTCCCGCGTTCTCTCTCCTCCTTTCCCTCTTCCACCTTCCTCGTTCCTTCCTGCCCCCCCTCTCTCCATCCTTCTTGCCCTGCCCTCTCAGACCTTCCCCCCCCCCCCCGCGCCTCTTTCCTCCTGGCATTCGACTTTCTTTCCCTCGACCCC